CAACTTGTACCCATCAAACTCAATGTCACCAATTACACCTTTTGGGCCCCATTTATGCCAAATGTCATTCATGGAAAATGTCTTCTTGGATATATAGATGGGACTTAGAGGAAATCTATTGAGCCAGGAAAACTTGAAGAATGAGGCATAAATAATATTCAAATTATAACATGGCTGATGGGCTCCTCTGAAAGCAATATAGGGATCAACCTAAGCACTTTCAAAACTGCTAGAGAAGATTGGAAATTTCTTGAGGACATTTATAATCAGACTAACTGGGCATGAAAGTACCAGTTAGTACAGGAACTTCGCTTCTTCAAACAGAGAGAGCAGTCAATTCAAGATTTTTACTCCTCCATGAAGATACATTGAGACTCTAGCATTAATGGAACATGCAATTGAACATGGTCCTAGTGCAAAAATAATTACAAAATCTCGGGATGAATTTGAGAGTGTCAGAAATGACCTGATCCATAGAAGGTCTCTCCCCATTCTGAATCACGCTTTTTTTGAGCCAATTGTAGAAGAAACTAAGATCAAATCTCTTTACTCAAGTGTTAAAGGAAACATTGTTTTTTGGCAACCCGACTTCAGAAGTCAAATGTGGTTAAACAGAATCCGCGCAATTCGTATTATATTCCTTTCAAGAACAAGCAATCTGTTAGATGTAACTATTGTAAAGAACTAGGACACCTCAAGTACAACTGCCCAAACAAGAAGAAATACATATTCGATGTTGTTGTTGATACAAATTAACCATTGCTCAAGACCCCACCAACGCAAATTGGAGGTCCCAGTCCTATTCCTGCTTCACCACTTGTATAACTCAAGTACATTTATTCTGGAACAAGCATAGTCTATGTTTTCTCAGTCACACATGGCCTCTAAACCCACTCCCTCCTTTTTAGGTAACTCTGTTTCTACCTCTTGGTTGATCCACGTAGGAGCTTCTCACCATATGACCTCCAATGAGTCCATCCTAGTTGATTGTAACCCCTTGTCTGATACTATATCTATTGTGATGGGGATGAAAGTATAAAAAATGGGCTCTATATCTCTTACCTCAGACCCTTCTAGTAAATTAAGGTTCTAATATTTACCATGTTCTTTCTCTTACCATGAATTTATTGTCCGTTGGTCAGCTTACTCATTCCAATTGTAATATTGTTTTTTTTCCATCTTTTTGCCTCATACAGGATCAACAATCAGGGCAATTGATTAAGACTGGACGCAAAGTTGGTAATTTGTACTACTTGGACTATCTGCATATGTCAAACTCTTATGTCTGTGTTGTTTCTATTGTGGATGACACATCCCTGTGACATCAACGCCTTGGTCTCATCTCTACATCTCATTTACAGTCTTTATTTTCCTGCAATGTTCTTGGTACTATTCGAAATAAAATTTTTATTAATGTCCAACATTATACAATTTGCAAATTCGCTAAGCCTCATGCTTTACCTTTTTCTCGAAGTACTTTTGTTTTCCCTTTTATGTTTGATCTTGTTCATGCTAATGTGTGGGGTCCTGCACCTATTCCATCTAAATGAGGGTCATGCTATTTTGTAACATTTGTTGATGATCATACTCATTATACATGGGTTTTCATTATGAATAATCGCACTGAACTTTTTAAAACCTTCACTCAGTTTTATTCATATGTAGAAACCCAATTTTCCACTAAAATTAAAGCTCTGCACTCAGATTCTGGAGGGGAATATGTCAGTGGGTTGCTTCAACAATTTTTGGCTAGTCACAACATTTAACACCACAAAACCTATCCCCTTATACACCAGAACAAAATGGTGTTGCTGAATGTAAAAATCGTTATATCTTGGAAATCACAAGGTCCCTTCTTTTTTCTGCATCTGTCCCAAAAGAATTTTGGGCAGAAGCTATTCATACCTCAGTCTTCCTCATCAACATCATGCCATCCTCTATTTTATCTGGTGAAACACCTTTTCAAAAATTGTTTGTACGACCACCCGATTATTTGCTCTTACGTGTATTTGGCTACAATTGCTTTGTTTTATTACCACTAATTGAGAGAGATAAGTTGTCTCCAAAGACGATCAAATGTTGCTTTATTGGTTACCCTGATCATAAAAAAAGATATAGATGTTATGACTCTGTGACTAAAAGACTTTGGGTATCTCGACATGTGATGTTTTCTGAGTATATTCAATTCTTTGCTAATAACAATAATTCATTACCTTCTCATCTTTCTTTCTTGGTCCCCTTCTTTGATTCTGTTCTTCATACCTCTGGTCATTCCACTCATGTCGCTCCTTCTGAAGTCCAGGAAGAAACTCAAGCATCTCATGCTGACAGTCCTGATCAAAACTCTGCATCTGCTGATCCTCTGCCGCTCCCTACTCTTAAACGGAGCACCCGGGCATCTGCTCCACCTTCCCGCCTTGCTGACTATGAAATCTTCTTACCTCAACCCCAAGCTTTCCTTGCCTCTGTTAACTCTTTTTCAGGACCTCGGACTTATAAAGAAGCTACAAGTCAACTTGAGTGGGAACAAGCAATGACTGATGAGTTGAATGCCCTCGAGCGTATGCATGCTTGGGACCTGGCAACTCTCTTGAAAGGAAAAACTTCCGTAGGTTGTCGATGGGTATATAAAATTAAAACCAATGCAGATGGCAGTCTTGAACGCCACAAAACCCTCTTGGTGGCAAAAGGTTACAATAAGCAATATGGTATTAACTTTGCATACACTTTTGCAGTTGCTCATATAACTACAATTTGTACACTGATCTCAGTGGCTTCTGTTCATCATTGGCCTCTCTATCAATTGGATGTAAAAAATGCTTTTCTCAATGGTGATCTTGATACAGACGTATCTATGAAGTTATCTCCTGGCATTGTGGATCCTCACAACCGCGTGTGTAATCTCCGACTGGCCTTATATGGACTCAAAAAAGCACCTCGTGCTTGGTTTGAAAATTTTGGTAATAAAGTTCTTTCAGTTGGATTTCTACAAAGTCATCATGATCCAACGCTTTTTGTGTCTGAAACTTCTGCAGGACGGGTTCTCTTGTTACTATATGTCAACGATATGATTATCTCTTGTAATGATAGAGGTACAATTCATAAAATCAAACAAAGGCTCAATAACGCCTTTGAAATGAAAAATTTGGGTTTCTTGCGGTATTTTCTTGGACTTAAAGTTTCTTATTCTCCTCGTGGCTATCTGTTGTCACAACAAAAATATGCTTCAGAAATTGTTTCTCAAGCTCAACTCCAGAATGATACAAAAAAGGTTGATACCCCTCTTGTGGTCAATGCCAACTTTCGGGCTACCGCTGGTGAAGCTCTTCCTGACCCAACCTTTTATAGGCAACTGATTGGAAACTGATATATCTAACCATTTTATGCCCTGATATTGCTTATACAATACATATGGTTAGTCAGTTTTTGAGTGTTGAAGACAACAAAAACCTAGGGTTGGGAATGAATCTAGGGTTCTAAAGGTAATAGGGTTAATTAAATATAGGAATCCAACCTAGGGTTTTGTAACATCCAAACCCTAGCATTGGTTTCCTGCAGCAGGTAGAGAGCATTTGAAAACTAAGATGAGTCCCTAGAAAGCCCATCCATTTGAATTTGACAACGGGGGTATTTATAGTGCAAGATGAACCAGGTTCCTATCATGACAAGTTTAACTAAATCATATCTCACCCCACCTGATTAATTAAATCCTACCTATTCAATTCTCTGTCATCAAGAAAGGCTCGGATAATCTTTGAGGTCCTAGTAAGTATCTCCCATCTAGCAAACTTAAAATTGGTAAATTTCAAGAATTTATTATTTTTGGAAAATTTATTGTTGTTGTTGTTGTTATTATTTGTGCCCCTTGTTAGATCTAATCATTGTCTCAATCACAATGTCACGTCTCTACACTATTTTATTTTTACTTTGTTTTATAAACTATTTTGACACCAAATTTGGACATCTATTCCCCTATAAAACTCGCAGTAGCGAAAAATGCATAAAAAATATTTTCAATAAAACAATAGCAACAGGCAAAAATAGCAAGCAATGCAGGTGCCAAATCTGTCAACGAAAGTGGAAATCTTATATTCTTGAACTTATGATTTGTAAGGGCCATGACTCCTTAAATGAGGTGATCCCCAATTTAGTCTTGGGAAAGGTCTCTATACTTCTTTTACAACATATAATATTTATGCTTCCCCTACCATCCAGTCGTCCAATTTTGATCAAGAGAGCCACTCACCATATGATCTTAGATCTAACGTCTCAAAGTATTTTATTTTTAGTTTTTTTATACAAATTTTATAAATATGAAAATTGGTATGTGTCATCTTCTCATTGGGGCGCACCTATAAAAACATATTAAAAATAATTTTTGATAAAATATAATGACCAGAATACCTCTTGAATATTTCAAAAGTATTTTGGTCATTTTATTTTATTGGAAATATTTGTTTTATATTTTTTACTAGTGCAAGTTTAATAGAGAATTGGATGTATAAAATTTGGCGTTAAAATAGTTTGTATAAATAATAGTAAAAATAAAATAATATAAAGACGTGACATTGTGATTGGGGCAATCTTTACTCTCCGTTCAGAATGGACGGTTGGATACGAGGAAGTATATCAGATTCATGTAGTAGGGAAAACATAGAAAGCTTTCTATTTTCTGAATTCAATACTAACCGTGACAATGAAGTCATGGACATCTTATAGTTTTAAACTTTGTTATGACCTTTAGCTACTTAACTTCAAATCTGATAGCCCAATGTGATTATGTCATTTTGTCCAAAAAAATCAAATAATTTGTGGTGTACAAATTTAAAAAGAAATGCTTCATTATTCACGACACAAATTACAAGAAAGCAATTTCATGAAATAAACTAATCACACATCTACATGAATGAGAAGCACATAGGCCCCCACAATATACAATTACAAAGGGCCTCGTCTAAAAAAGAACAAATTAATAACATAAACCACAATCCCTATCAAGAATCAATCAATTGGGCACGGAGCACCTTGCCCTAATCTGCCCAGCTGATCCAGTAAGAGGCTCAATATCCCCCATCTTCACCATAGCCTCCGCAAAATCCGAGTAGAAAGCACTGCGACTCTTACTATATGACCTCACTATCTCATCAGTTGATCCACCATTAAACAGCACCTGATCTGATTCCAACAAACCCTTTTTCTGCATCAAAATCTTGAAGTAGTTGTTGTCGAAGCTAGTGGGTGTAACAAGGTCAAGCGGTGCGAGCTTCGAGTCCCCACCATTTGAAGGGCAGCGATTACGCCTTTTGCGAGCAAAGCCAGAGTCGATGTTGGTGTGGTTGTGAATTCTGTCTCTGAATGTGAAGCACTGGGCTTGGCCTATGGTGTGTGCACCAGAGAGAGCCACCAAGTCTTTGGCACTGAGTCCCTTTCTGCGGAAGAGAGAGATGAGACTGTCCAAGGGAGTGGTGAAGAGAGGGAGTTCTCTCTCTGCCTCACTCTTGCTTGCCGTTGCAGAGTCTCTTCGCCATAGCTTTACAGTCCACGATGGACCTCCCAACTGCATATAGTTTATTTCTATATCAGTTTTCGAATGTTAGGATGATATTTTGACCCCTTCAAACCGATTTTGGATGAATATTTTTATGACTTATTTTGGATGACTGCTTTGCCTTGAATCTTGGTTTAAGACATGCAATAAACTTGTTTAATTTGGGAGAAGTAGTAAATTAGTAAAAACAGACTTTTTCTTTATTTTAGCAATCGTACAAGGTCACAATCATATATGTAGCTGTCCGATATGACATCTAATAGCCTGAGGTATATTATATTATAAAGTTTGAAAACTTCATTTAGAACTTTGAGCCCGATTAATAGGAGACCTACATCTAACCGATTTTAGATCTAATAGCCAAAGTTAATTGCGATCATAATTATATATATTTATCCTTTTGAAAATTATAAGCCTCAATCATGAACAATGAGACTAGAAATATCCTCTTGAAAATTATAAGCCTCAATCATGAACAATGAGACTAGAAAGGCCTTGGTGTCGCTTCCACGTATGCAGGGGGAGGGGTGAGATGGAAACGGTCCTAACTGTTAATCTTTAGTTTTTTATGCACAAAGTGATCGCACTCGAACCCATGCTCTTAACTGCTAATCTTTAGCTTTGATATGCTTACCTTTACAGAAGAGTCTCTTGCTGCAACTGCAAGGATGTCGGCACAGGAGACCACACCTGGACATATGCTTTCCACTCTCGACTTTGCCTTTTCAATGACTTGGAAGCCTCTAGCAGACTCGATGTTCTGAATGGCATTCTGTTCGCTCTCGAAAGAGGAAGTCGAGTCCAACAGCAGCGATGCATCGCAACCCTGCACATAGATATCCATACACCTAAGATCACCCACATTCATAAGATAGATCGAGTTTGATAAATAGATTAAAAGAAATTCAGACTAATAGATTAATAGATCGATAGATACGAATTGTTAAACATAAATATTAAGAACTCACATTGACAAAGCAATCGTGGAAGTGGAGGCGAATAAGGGAGGCTCCCATGGGCCTCTCTGCCGATATCGCGGCATGAATGGCGGTGCGGATGGTAGAGAAGGCATTGGGGCAGCTCGAATCATAGAACTTGGAGCTCAGCTGCTTCCCTTCACATAGTAACAGCATGCTACATAGCACTATCATGAGCAGTGTTGCTATATGAGCAGTAGAGCAAGAGCCCATCTCTTTTCTTGATATAACAGTTTAGAAAGAGAAGGAGGGGGTTAAAGAAGCCTCTTAAAGAGAGAGAATGGCTCGTTCAAGGGTGTAGTTTTTGGCCTTAAATGCACAAGAAAACCTAGAGAGAGAAAGAGAGGTAAAAATGTTAAGATTGATGAGAAGAGATGAAGAGCAAGAGATGTACTTATAGAGAGAGAGACATCCTAAAGCGGAGCTCCGTTATAAGACTTTCGTGCGGGTAAGGTTTTTTATTAATGCGAACACGAAACATTCAATTATGAGGTTCTGTCCAAATACCAAAATGCCCAAATACTCTCTCTCCGATGGATTGATGCCATCCTCCTAATTTGTAAAGGGCATATGCCCTAAAATAAGATAAAAATGAAAATAAAAATCAATTTCCACGTTCAAAATACGACAGCGTGATTATAATTATAATGTTTGTATTGATCAATGGAAATAGTTTATATAAGGTTGCACCTTTAATATGTAGAATCAAAGACTCACATAGAAAATACATCAGAAAAAGTTGGTTTAATGTTGAAAAATCCTAAAGTGATCATCTCATCATGGAGATATACGAATATGAACAAAAAAAAATTTGACTTTAAGCCCTCGAAAATAGTGCATCTTAGAACATATTATCTAGACCATCTATTTTCAAAATTTATATATATATATATATATATATATATATATATATATATATA